TTTTTCCCCAGAATTATTATAAAATGCTTAATAATCTAAAGTCTCATTTTTATATTACATAAATACCGAATTTAGTTTGTTTAAATAAATGAGGTGGCCAGAAGGCAGTTTGCATTCTAGCACAACTCACGTGTCAAAGTCAATAACGAAAGTAAACTTATAAAGCAGAATGCACCAGAAAGATATTTAGAAACAGCATCTTGCGCATGTTGAACAAAAGTTACACCACAGAAAGTTCTCATTATGATTTTTATGTGAGTTTACGTTGATATAACAATTACAACGAATATTAAGACTCGCTGAATATTATATTACCTTATGAAACTCAAATGTTATCTACCAGCAATTATTTGAATGACTGCACATCATTAAAAAATAACATGCAGCAAAAGTTTCAGATGATGAATATTACAGAAAGGGGAAAGAATGATACAGGCTTCACCAATTTAATTCTCTTTATTGAAGTGTTTAAAGAAACTCATTGAAGAGTGAAGTTCTTTCAGATTTCACAGCACTTTACGAAAACTGAGGGTGAGTTAGTGGTGACAAGGCGTCTTCATAAATGGGCATGCAAAAAGGTTGCTGCTCTACAAGTTACAACAAGGCATCATCCATATCTTACAGAATGATGATTCACAGTTCATATCACTTCAGCTGTTAAAGTGTTCAATTGCTGCCAACCACACAGCAATCATTTAACAAACTACAGAGCTAGAGAACCGTAATTTATTTCTGTGACAAACATGTTCCACAGTGTTGTATGAACTGGATGTGGCAGCACAGTTCTCCTCTAGCCCTCAGTCTGTCGCTATTTTGCTTGCGATGTGGCAGCACAGTTCTCCTCTAGCCCTCCGTCTGTCGCTATTTTGCTTGAGCTATGCTCTGCAACTGCCTCAGCTTCGCACTCCTTACAACTATATAGCTTTTTGTACTCTTTAGCCTCCCTCTGTGCTTCGTTTGATAGTTGCCAAGACATTTACAGGAGGCACTGACACTGTCATATTGTTCACCTGCGATAAAGATTAAACAGATAATTTAACTTTTCGAAATACAACTTAAAGTTGTGAACAGACAAGACCAAAACTATGGCATTCAAAGGACAAGATCCCATCAGATCTAAGATAATAATAAATAATATAATCATACAACAAATTAATACATTTAATTATCATATAATTATCTTTATCATATGAAACAAAAGGATTTCACAGTAAAATTATCAAAATACAAGTTACAGACATCATTTATGAAATCTTTAAACCCCCTAAAATCCCAACAGAAACTAGATTGAAAATATATAAAACCTTGGCCATAACCACACTTCTTTTAGGGTGCGAAACCTGGATAATGAAACAACGCAACAAATCAACAATTGCAGCAGCAGAGATAAAGTTCTTAAGAAAAATAGCCAAATACACATGGAGAGATCATAAAAGAGATGACGTCATCCACAAAGAACTACAAACAGAGCCAATATTGGAAAAAAATCCACAGATACAGAAGGAACTGGATCCAACATGTACGAAGAATGGAGGAGGACAGATTGCCACATCAAATTTTGAAACATAAACCAATAGGAGAAAGAAACAAATGACGCCGTTTAAAAAGATGACTGAGGCCGGAGCGGGTCACAAGGCATTGTGTTCAGCTTTTATCAGCGAACAAATGTACTTCAGACTATGTTCAACATGTCAGTAAGATTTAAGGAGATAGCTGTCTTCTGTGTTGTATCGCTGTGTAGTCTTGTAGAACTTTGCTATTGCAATCGCCCTGATGATAGGGCAGCAAGGACCTGCGAAACGTCTGTGAACTTCTAACATACTACGCGGTGCTACGACCCAGAAGACAGCCAACTTCGTACTTTCCACCGTGAGAACCTCGATTCCGTTCTACTGAGGAGTATTTTAATAATTAAGCAGATGCCAATTTACTTAGGCCATATACTATGTGGCAAAACCTTGGCCATAACCACACTTCTTTACGGATGAGAAACCTGGATAATGAAACAACGCGACAAATCAAGAATTGCAGCAGCAGAGATGACGTTTTTTGAGAAAAACTGCCAAATACACATGGAGAGATCATAAAAGAGATGACGTCATCCACAAAGAACTACAAACAGAGCCAATATTGGAAAAAAATCCACAGATTCAGAAGGAACTGGATCCAACGTACGAAGAATGGATAAGGACAGATTGCCACATCAAATTTTGAAACATAAACTAATAGGAGAAAGAAACAAATGACGCCGTTTAAAAAGATTCCTGGATGACTGAGGCCGGAATAGGTCACAAGGCATTGTGTTCAGCTTTTATTAGCGAACAACAAATGTACTTCAGACTATGTTCAACATGCCAGTAAGATTTAAGGAGATAGCTGTCTTCTGTGTTGTATCGCCGTGTAGTCTGGTAGAACTTCGCTTTAAGAGGTACTTGCGATCGCCCTGATGATAAGGCAGCAAGGACCTGCGAAACGTTTATGAACTTCTAACATACTACGCGGTTCTAGAAACCCAGAAGACAGCCATCTTCGTAATTTCCACCGTGAGAACCTCGATTCCGTTCTACTGAGGAGTATTTTAATAATTAAGCAGATGCCAATTTACTTAGGCCATATACTATGTGGCTTATTTAACTACCATGCTAGTAGCTCAGACTACATACAGTCGAAAAATAGAATTATCAATGAATGATGATTTGGAAAGGATGTGGAAGGAAGGAAGGAGTTTGGGCTTAATTTAAAGTCTTACTTTGGCATTTGTCTGGAGACACTGAGGAAAATGTGTCAGAGTAGCCGGTCTCTGGGTTGAGTTCTGAAGCCAAGACCTTCCTATTATGAAACAGGAGAGCTAACCATGTCACAGTCCTTCTTGGAAAGCTAATAATGGCTCAGCTGTTTTAGATATTTACCACTCATTATGGAAACAGAAGGTTCATTACCACGCTTAAAATGCAGCAGAGGCTAGAGGTAACATCCCTGGTCACCCCGACACTGTCTTGACCACAGCCAAGTCTGGAAATGCATTTGAAGTTAAGTGTCACGTAAAAGCCATCATCCAGAATGTCCGTCTCCTAAAGTTGTTATTGCTGCTACCGTTGAAAAGTCTTACTCTGCACTAAACAAGAACTGTTTCCCAGATTGGCGGAGCACATAGCACACACACGTTAAGACAGGCACACAAAACTTCACTGCCACTGGAGGCTACCCTAAACTCATAATTTTTACTTTTCCTTCCAGCAAGACAGACGGATGAACATGTGAGGTGAGAGTCGCCCTAGTTCATACAACAGATCTTTGAAAAATACACAGATTTTGTACAGTAATTGTTGGTACGATGTCAAACATGGTGGCTGCATACATAACACAAATTATTTACCTGACCAAAATTCAGTTCCATTACCATCTGTGCATGAGCGAACATGGATTTTGGACATTAAAGTTGTTTAAGTTATATTTTATCATTGTTTAACAGGTTTCAGACACATTTCAACTTAAACCATACAATGTATTTATTGACTACTTTCATTGTTCTATACTTGAGACTATGCTGTTATTTGGGGGGGGGAAGTAGAGAATCAGAAAGGAAACAATGTTTAGAATGGAAGTTCGTGCGCTTTAGCGATGACAATGGAAAGTATGTAAGTTGGACTGTAATTCTGTCCAGTTTTAACTGCGACAAAGATTAGTAAGTTAGAGTTCATGTCAGAATCATGTTGAAAAATACACTTATATTTTTATATTGTCTGTGAATTACTGCATATGTGTGACACGTATGGAAACACTTTTAGTGTACATGTATGATGTGTCAGCTAGGAGCATTCAGAATGCAGAGTTCAAAGCATACATTTTCTGTATTCCGGAACAGATTACTCCTTCTCATACAAAAAATAAAATTTCAAAATGTAGGAATCAATTATATAAGGATGGAAAACAACCACATTCTGCAGAGACAAGTTACGTATGCAGGGTGAAAAGAATGCATAAGGGAAATGCGTTTTCTCCCAACTGAAGCGCATCTATTTGTGTAGGATATGAGGTTTTCATGGCGTTTCAGAGGTCCTTGTGATCGCCCTGATGATGGAGGCAGCAAGGACGTCTGAAACGTCAGTAAACCTCTACCAGACTACATGGCACAACAACCAAGAAGACAGCCATTTTCTGCAATGTTTATGTTGCTATTAATTTTAAGGCAGACAAGTAACTACAATCAAGCAACAGAATGTTCTACAACAGGGAAACGGGAAACATATTTTATGTCATAGGTAAAACATAGTTTAACCAATTTACACAGCACATGACGTAGATGCACAGCTAGAATTGTATAATAAATTCCAACAAAGCAGAACTTACCGATTCACAAGGCCGTTATCTTCTTCAATATTTTGATCTGTGCCATTCATCGGCAAGGCCGGTTTGCTGAGCTGTAATTCAGAAAATAAAACTTACTTCAATAATATTTGGTACAATTATGAAAATAAATGTCCATCACCTATTAGTATTTCTTCATGGAAAGGTCCTGTTGAGTAATTTGAAGCATAGCTTACATTTATCAGCACATGATACTCAAAATCCATTATAATACGACACAGATTAGGTCACCGACTCACTCTGATTCGGGAATCTTTGCATCTTCTTCCGGGACATTCTACATCTCTGTAACTGATTGGTTTGTATTCTGAAATTCTCTGAGTTAGCCTATTTGTTTCTGATCACTATTCTTGTACTGTTTCTTCTAAATTAAATGTTTTCAAATAATTACAAATTTATTGACATTTACATGGTCATAGAGGTACTTTCTGTCACTCAGGAGAAGAGGTTTGCCCTTGGCAGTGCGAGCAGATGTTGACGGAACATGTGGACCTTGTCAAAAATATAAGGCTTTAACACTGCACAATTTTTTCTGTCTGCTCTCTTTTTCATCGTTGCAACCGACACCCCAGAATAGTCATTTCTTATGCACGGCAAATAGGAAAAATCACACTCTCGTCCACTAATTCTGGTCTACACTGCGATTCACATGATCTGTCATCTCCCTAGCTTCTCTATCAATGGTTTTACTCTTTTTCAGTTGTCACCAGTTACTGAATAACTGGATACTTTCCACTCAACAGTAACCACTGGCAATGTGAGCCGTGGCTGACTCGGAATACTGACGACGACTACGCATCACTTGATGTGATTACGAAAAGCGGGCGACTTGTTTTGTGAAAATGAAATGATGTATAATTACATGACTGCTGAAAGTGATCAAACGTTCTTGTTATGTTGCATTTAAAATAATGGAATGGTGCCATCATTACAACAAAAAATTCCTATATTTAACACTAATTTTGCATAAACACATTCATACAGATGGGCTTGTTATAGGTTGGACACATTACATCACACTTTTACTGCACTGATTATTTTATATGATAAACTTACTTCACTGGCTGTAGAGAGAGACATTCGAACTCCTTGCGGCATTTCCGCAAATTTCATTGCATTCTGCAAGGAAACATACAAGTGAATTTTCAGAATAAGTAATATTTTCAAAAATTTTCACAAACGCGCACACGTTTAAAAAATGCCTCAAAATGAATTCTAAACACATTGTTCTCTTGCACAGGAAAATATAAAACACTGCGCTCATAAACCTCCCATTGAACTTGTCAGCTCATAAGCTGCGTTGACAAGAATGCTAATAGTTATTGAATTGGTTGGAGAACATGAAAAATGGATAAAGATATTTTTTCACCTGTTTGAGGTTACAATACAAGAGGAAGACCAAATCCTCGAGCTAATCGAACAACTCGACTCAAAGTTCAACACATTGGATATTGGCCGGCTACAGGATTATACTCACATGTTCAGTGGGGAATAAAAGAACTACAAATTTTCATTGTTCAAAGTGCAAAGCTGGCTTATGTCCAGATCCATATTTTTGTATTTTACATGCAAAAGTAGACTTCTGAATCCAGCTTCTGTTACAGTGGGAAAAAACATTTAGTAAACTGCAAGTCCTTTCCATTTTATTATGCGTGCTTCGCACAAAATGCATAGCAAGGACGCATTACGGGTTCTTCAACAAGAGAACCACTAGACAGATTGGGATATGGAGGTTGTGCCATTCCAAAATCATACTTATGGTTGCTATGGTTACCATTGGCAACCAGCGTTATGTGTTCTTAGAATGTGCACTGTACATCCTATTGTTATCGTAGTTCATATTGGTGCAAGTCGGAAACATCCCAAGGGTTCCTGTACGTTGAGGTTGTTTTTATAGGTTAAAACGGGTTCAGTCATGTTAGGTTAGGTTAAGCATTTTTTGTCTGCCGCAGTCTCAATTATTCCCTCAGTGATTGGTTAAAGTAAATAATTGGCTTCTTACTCCTAGTTTTGCCTGGTTGACCATTTCTGTTTGGTTGAGGCTGCCGTGCTCTGAAGATTATCTGGTACTTAAAATATTTAAGCCACTACAAGAAGCCATGTTGAAACGTACTTCACAGAGAGAATGTGCATTTTGTAGAACATTGTATCATATTCTAATAACTGTGCACAACAGCTTGTATTAATGGTAATTGTTCTAGAGCTTAATTAACTTATAATGGAAACCCACACACGCACGTACACAGAAAGTGACAACATCAAAATATTCACGTACTTAACTCCTGAGAGGTGCGTGTCCTGTCATGGAAGTTTAGTTTAGGACACATGTTTAAATATTAATTTTAAATGTTGGAATTTCAAATTAAGGGATCATGAAATTTTTAAAATTGTGAGTTTACAAAAACTCCGCTTGCACGGGATCTCTGATCTCATGTTGCCGGTCCCAAGCCCAGATAAAGGACGAGGGTCGAGCGAGAGACTAACATCCTCTAATTGAAAAAATTTAGTTGCTCAGAAACCCAACGAGGCAAGCCGGATGGATCCAGGCAAGAACAAGGGACTTTGAATGTATTGACTACGAACAGATTTGGAACCTTACGCAAAGTTAAATAAGAATTAGGGAAATATAAAATCGCAATTGCAGCACTTCAAGAAATCTGATGAAAGTGGAATAAATATTTCACATTAGTTGATACAGGGTTCATGGTGCATAAAAATCTGATTGTGGACTTCAAGGCTGTAGATGACAGGATCAGAAGGAAGATATTTTAATATTATCATGCCCTGACAGAGGAGAAATAGGATGAAGTTAAGGATGGGTTCTGTGAGAAGTTAGAAGAGGTGAGAAATGACGTTGAAATTATATTAGGAGACCTAAATGCCAAAAAAAAGGGCAGGAAGAAGAATTTAGACCTCATACAGGGAAAGGAAAGTAATGGAAATGGTATAAGAGTAATGGACTTTGCAATTAGTATGAATATGAAAATCAGTAGTACCTTCTTCCAAAAGAAAAATGTATGCAAATGAACCAGTAGGAATCAATTAGATCATTGATAAATGACTTAGTTCAGAGAATTTGTAGCGTACTTTCTTCCAAGAGCATTAACCACATTATTTTAGTAGTAAAATCCAACGAAAATGGCAAATCATTTTTACACAGTACTTACGACTGTTGCCGCATAATCTTCAACCCTAGGATTCACACACACAATCATTTTCACCTGCCCTTCACCATCAAAGAAGTTTTTGAATAGGTAAGTTATTTTCGAATCTCTGTAGGGGACCTTTTGCTGGTTTCTGCCAACTGCCCTGAAGCACCTTCCCAGATACAACAGGGACTCGTTGATCTTAGCTGCGAACAGAGTCAGACACACAATATACTGTATAATACAGACTCATATTTTGTGATTGTTGGCGACACTGTTTCATGTATTACATGCAGCCTAAATTTAAGAAGAAATGATTTTGGAGGGGGGAAAAGTGTGAAACACACGTAAATATGGAAATAGTTCATCCACTGATTTGCTGTTAAATTAAGATTCTTGAACTTGTGTGCTGTTGGTCAGAGAAATGTCATACTGGTACGCACGTTTACCAAAGGAAGTAGGAATGAAAGCCAGGACCAATTACAGAAGAGATTACACGTTTTGGACTTGCAAGTAACTGCAGAGCTCAGACCACGAAGTCTTTAATGAACTACGACAAAAATGCAAACAAAGTGGCTTACAATCACATTTCCTTACTGATACATAATATCCAGTGATTAGCACATAATTTAAAAGTGAATAAATTGTAGGAATATGAAAATATTATTCCACACTTGCTACTATTTTCATTTCGCTCATTTTAATCAAACATGTGCCAGTCTTCTTTTGCATTTAAAATGTTTCAAGTCGGAGATCATCTGACCTACAAATCAGAATACAGGAGCCCCAAATGAAGTCGAAACATTTAGAAGCATCAAAAGTCACCACTTATTATGTAGGACTGTTAATAAACAAATAAATGTACCTCCTTCTCTAAGCGTCTCGCCAGCAGTCTTTGCCTTCTTAGTATTCTCTGTACCAGCCAGATCCACTAATAAGAACTGGCTGATACGTAGAGCTTTCTTATCTTGCAGAATATTTTCACCCTGATCGTCAAGAGGTGCCTAAAACAAGACAACAGCTTTAAAGTCAGAAACATTTGTTACGGAGTAAGATTTAAAAACCATCTTAATTAACACAAACCTGCACCAATCCAATTGAGAAAACAGTGTGGCTTCTACTGGATTGTTTGTTAAACGCAGTAGCAGCCACCCGCTTTCTTTCCTCCCCTTTGTTGAAAGTGCGTCCAGCGCTTGTGTGACTGATTCCAGCTCCACTTCCGTTGTGGATTGTACAAACGTCTTGCCGTTGGCATCAAACCTCAATTCCTTTGACTGCTTTTGCCTGGAAGATAGTTTAGTTTCCTCAGCACATGAATGGTTTATCGTGAAATAGCAATAAATTAAACGTAAATAACAGTAATACTAAAGTAAATAATACACGTATGTAAAAATAAAACCAGATATTATTTGCTATTATGAATGAAAGTTTGCTTTAATAAATGGACCTGAAAGTGAAGATAAACATAGCAAAGTATCTCGCAAACTCCACGTCAGTGAAATCCTCCACGGAAGGAGGTGAAAGCACATGGCAACCTTTGGTTATCCAAATTCGTTCAACTTAAATCAAACAGTCAGACATGGTCAGCCATGTTTGTTCATTCCATAACAAACAAAAACTACTAACTCTTCAGGTGTACGTGCCAGCAGGTCACACACATAATCATTGCATACTTCAGCATAAGTCACAAAGACCGCACATCTGATCTATGTGCTATCTGGAGTCAGCCGAGGCAAATCTCTCCTGAAACAATAAAGATCTCTTCTACATATTCGTGGCTAGCTGAAGTACGAGTACGCAAGAAAACTACTGACCATTTCAGTGAACGTTGCAGCCAAGTGGGTAGCAAGCTCGTTTTGTGTTCAGCAAATCCCGGATCCAAACTTTATACCACAGAATGATGTTTTACGTGGTTTTCTTTGGCCCCTCCAGGCAAATGCCAGGCCCTTACAATTCATTGATTTTATGCTACGCTGTCATTAAATAAAAATAGGGTAATGTCAGGAAGTTTTTTGTAGAAAGGGTCCAAAAAGGGGGAAAAACTGAATGACGTACTAATCCTAAATTATGTGTGGTAAATGGGAAAAAAGGGAAAGGATATTTTCACAGTGAAACCACGTGGTCTACGTTTCTGTACGTCCACAGCAAAAACAGTTTTCTTAATAACTGTGAAGGAATTCTTTTGTTCTGAAGATGTTCAAGGAACAAAAAGCAGAAATTGCACCGTCTATTAATAAATTTCTGTGTGACAAAATATAAGCTTTTCCGCTTGCCGTTAGTATAAATTCTACTTGGCTCAGATTGTTTCATGACTTACTTCTCTGATGTTTTCAATGGACCTGCAGCACTTAGAATGTCGAAACCATTCTTTGCATCAGGCCGAAAAACACATTCCTTGGCTTGGCAGTGGCTAATGCTATCGAAGATGATGTCGAAGCATCGCGGCAATATTCCTGGATCCTCTGCGTGTCCAGTCATTGTGAAAGTTTTACCGCTGCCACTACCACAGTAAGTGAAGAGCAAGCCATCTTTGCCGCGTGTGAGGTCCTCTACCAAGGGCAAGGCAACTGTGCGAAAAACATCCTCCTGTGTAGAACTGCCTTCAAACACGTGTTTGAAGGTGTACTTGGTTGCAGAAGAAGTTGACGGTCGTTTAACCAAGACTGTCTTCTCCGAAGCAACTTCTACACAGGGTTTTTCAATTGGCCTTACTCGGCAGAAAACCTCAACTGTTGGTCTTGGGACTGATCGTGTCTTGCCAGGAGTCTTTTTTAGTGAACGCTTGTCTTGCCTGCAAAGGAAAGCACAAAATGTTAGGACAAATATCCATGAAAATACGAAAAATCAACACAACACTCATTGAACTTTAATGTCTAAAATTTTGATGAAATTTGGCATAAAAATTGATCCCATTACCAGCCATTTGTCTTATTTTTGTTCAATATCTGTCAAGTGGTTTTGGAAATACAGGATATTAAAATCACCTCCATGCATAAGGTTTCTCTTTAATAACTCTGTTGATAATGCACTCAGAGAAAAATCTATAGCTCATGAGATCCCTTTCAGATGAAGCTAAATAATCACTACTCATAAACGTTCAAATCAAAGAACTGCAAAACGTGAGTTTGGTTTCAGTAACAGTATTTTTACACTACCAACAAAGGCATAGAATAAGCAACTACAGTAAAACCTCTCTAACTTGGACACTTGCGGTTCCACGATAATGTGTCCAACTTACAGAGGTGTCCAGGATAGAGGGAAAGGGGAAAATATCCTTTCAAATTGTGGTGTAATGACAATGTGGTAATTGTAGAGTATTATGGAGCCCTTCCCAAAAAAGGAAATTATTGATAAGAAAAATCAAAAGGGTAAATTAAATTTTTACAAATTTTGTTTTCACGAAATTAAACTTGCATGGATAAGCTGAAAGGGAAGGGCACCGATACTTTACGTTTACCGACAATGTAATCTATTTACTTACATAATCTAATTACTGTAATTGCTGTTAACACTGTTTAACTCAGTTGCAAGCACAGAACTGACAAAGTTAAAACTGTACCAGCAATACATACTGTAGTCCAGTGAAGGGTTCAACAAAAGAATAACTATACACTTTCACTGCATTTAAATGTCTCACACCCTCAACCATAAGCTAATCCTCAGGTAGAAGGCATTCATCAGTCAGAAATTCAAAACAACAAAATACTAACTGTAAACGTTTCCCATAAAAGCATCGAAGTTAAGTGCATGAACCTGTCCAACTTACAACAAAAGGGATGACCAAGTTCCAGGATAAAGGGGTGTCCAATATATAGGGTATTGTGGACATGTAAAATTATAGGATATTCACCGGTTCCAATTAAAAGTGTCCAATATAGAGGGGTGTCCAGGTTATAGGGGTGTCCAACTAGAGGGGTTTTACTGTATTACACAAAATGTCATTTTTTAAAGCCCATAATAGCAAATTCAAAGTAACTGTACCTCATTTTCTCTTGTTTAGTTCAGTAGAAGATTTTCGCCTCACACTAATTTGTATTGCAGCACAAAAGGAAACAAATTTCACACTTAATTACAGATTCTTTTTTGCAGTTTACCAAACTCGGACCGCAAAAACAAAATACCAGTTTCAGACCTTCTAAGCTTTCTTACGAATGCACAGACGCAGAATAAGTAACACCAACTGCCATGGTCAGAAAGTTCCGATGAGCAGATTAAAACAGAGCGGAAAATATCAATCAAAACCTGACAAGGAGATAAGACACATAGTTGCCGAGAAACAAGAAATAAATATTTACACACCTGCTTGATCTGGATCGTGATTTTCCACCATCAGCACTCTTTGGCTGTGATGTAGTCTCATATTTCTTTTGCTTCTGTGTGGAAGGACCAGCTCCTAAAAGAAACAGTAGATTATGTAGAGGTGCAAGAAGACAGCCAGGAGAGTCTCTCCTTTGTTAGAGAACACACATTATATCCACTTTGAAGCACAAAACATTCCTTCGGCTGCTAGAAATAAAACACGACTCGCCATCAGAATCAATCGGAAAGAGATCTCGTCTCTCCATGTTCTTCCCCAGACATGACTTGTGAAGAAAAAGAAATTGAAATTTTACTTGTTATTTCATCATAACCTGATGAGCTTTTTTGATTTGTGGGACTGTACAGGTAGCCCTCGATTTACGCCGGGGATGTGTTCCTGGACGAACCGGCGTAAATTGAAACTCTTTTTATAATGTAAATCAATGGGAAGTCAATGATACGCGTTCCCAGCAACCAAACATTGACGATTAATATAATGGCATTACATTTAAAGCTCTGAAATAACGTAAATAAAATAAAGGGAATTTAAAAAATATATTTTATTCTCTTACAATCGGCAATTCGTTGGTCCCCAGGATTCTTTCATGTGATTGATTTGTACAGTCATCTCTGCTGTTATGCGATAGTTGCATTCATGTAAGACGCCGACCTATAGAAAATCGCGTAGTAAAAATAACCCCGGGACCTCCGCAGAGATTAAATTAGTCCTTTGAAAGTTTAAAGCGCCAGGAATGAAATTGCATAAGAGCAAACTCGCATATGCAAAAGTTCGTATTTCACAAACAGCTTTTACCGATTCATCGATCTCATTGGAGCAAATCCGCGTTAACGAAACTTACGTAATTGCAGAGACGACTGTATTTATAATTTTTATTCAAAATCA